GTTCTGGTTGTCACATGTAGGGCAGACCAGGTAAGGATGATAGATTACCTCCAATAAAGGAGATTAGGACAGGCTAGATGTGGGAAGAATGTTCCCGATGTTGGGGAAGTCCAGAACCAGGGGTCACAGTCTAAAAGTAAGGGGTAAGCCACTCGGGACTGTGATGAAGAAGAATTTCTTCACTCAGAGAGTTGTGAACCAGTGGAATTCTCTCCCACAGGAAGCTGTTGGGGCCAGTTTGTTGGATATATTCCAGAGGAGCTGAGCATGGCCCTTGTGGCTAAAGGGATCAAGGGGTATGGGGAGAAAGCGGGAATAGCATACTGAAATTGCTTGATCATCCATGATCATATGGAATGGTGGTGCAGACTGGAAGGGCTGAATGGCCTACTCCTGCATCTATTTTCTATGTTTCTATTAATGAACCAGGTAGGCTTTTAAGATAAGCGATAATGCTTAGATCCATTTTAATTCCAAATTTTACTGAATTCAACTTTCACCATCAGCCAAGGTGGGACTTGAGCTTATGGACCTCAGAACATTAGCCAAGGGGAGCTGGATTGCTAGACTAGTGACATCAGCACAATGCCACTACTTTCCCACAAAGGCCTAGAGAATCTGTTTGTCTGTGATGTTGATTTAAGCATAAATATTGGCCAAGACACCAGGGATTAAATCTCCACCCTTCTTTAAAACAATGTCATGTGACCTTGTATACCCACCCAGACTAGCGGATGGGATCTCACCTGAATGACAACGTTGCTGACAAATCAAAACTCCCTCTGTGAAGGTGTTAGTTTCAGCAATTATTAATATGAAGCATTGCAAGTTTATGAATTATACCGAAAGCTCCAACTGAGTGCATTTTACAGCAACCTCACACAGGCCAATACTGAAAGGCATCAATCTGTTCTGGTTTTGAAATGGTTTAAGAGGTTACTAAGTAAAGTACCTTTCAGATTTACACTGTCAGTTTGTACCACAAGATCTGTGTAATAAGATCAATCCATTTCAGTTTAAGGCTGAGTTTGAGTGCTGCAATGCACTGCCTCTGTTGGCGGGGACCCTGTTCCTGGACCTATTTTTGAAAGTTTTGCTTAGAATTCCATTGAACCAGGTTTTGTGATTTAACAACAAGATACAAAACTGGCTAAACTCGAATGCAGCAACATTCCACACCTCCTTCCCAAAATAAGTGGCAGCTTTGAGAGATACTGACGATGCAGACTTATAAGATGTAATGATTTCCACTATTCTGCAACTGGCATCCATTGGGGGTTGAGGTTCCCTAAACCCAAGATTCCTAAACTTTTTCCGACTGTGACGCTCAGTGGCACTGAGGGGTCAGGAGGATGGGGAGGGAGACAAACTGTTGAAATAACTCCACGAAGGCCGGTATCCCATCACCAAGTCACCCTTTATTTCCACGTGCGCAGTACGTGGCACTGACCCAGCTAGCTCAGACCTCACTCCTTGAGTGAGCAGACTCCCTGACATTCCTGTTAATATCTGTCAGCCAGGGCTCCCTGATTGGACCAGGTTAATAGCCCCAATCAGGGGACTCACATTCTATGAGGTTCACCTGGTTGACTTTATTCCAATCACTACAATAGTGAGCAGAGGTGTGAAGGCTGGGTGGCTGGCAGGGGCCATACACTTTGGTGAGGAGAGAGACATGTGGTAGCTGATGAGAGTTCCCAGGGTCAGAGGCGTTCTGAGTTCAGTTGCCTGTGAAAACAGTCAGACTCAAAGAGCTGAATGGCCTACACCTGCTCCTAACCTATGAATCCCTTTGGGACATATCTTTTTGTTCATTCATCCAATGTGAGCATCACTGGGCAGAGACCAGCACTTTATTACCCATCCAAGGGCAATTGTGAGTCAACCACATTGCTGTGGGCCTGGACTCACATGTTGGCCAGATCAGAGAAGGATGGCAGCTTCCTTCCCTGAAGGACATTAGTGAATCAGATGGGTTTTTACAACAATCAACGATAGTTTCATGGTCATCATTAGAGTCTTAATTCCAGATTTGGTATTGAATTCAATTCTAATATCTGCCAGGGCAGGATTTGAACCCGGGTCCCCAGAATATTACCAGAGTCCCTGGATTAATAGTCTAGCAATAATACCACGAGGCCATATTCTCCCATTTTAACATATTAAAAGGAAGTTATATAAATTGTTGCAAAAAACCCACCTGATTCATTGATGTTCTTTAGGGAAGGAAACCGGCCATCCTTACTTGGCCTGGGCTACATGTGACTCCAAAATCACAGCAACGTGGGTGAGTCTTAACTGCCTCTGAAATGACCCAACACATCACTCAGCCCAAGGGCAATTAGGGATGGGTGAGAAATGCTAGTCTCTTCAGCATGGCCCACATCCCATGAACGAGCAAAACATAAATACGAATGCAAGTTATTGCTGTCCTTTAGCTTCTGTATTTCAAATGGGCCACTCCTCCCATTAAGTAATGTTAATGGACTGATAATCCAGTGATCATATGTTCAAATCCCACCAAGGCAGTTTGAAAACATGAAATCAGTTTTATTTTAAATCTAGAAATAGAAAACAGTCAAATTGACCATGGAGCTGGTGAAATGTTGTAAGAACACAATTACTTTAGCAAAGGAAATCTGCCATTCTGGTGCAGCATGAGACTCAGTCTCTCACCAATACGGTTGACAGTCAACTGCTGGAGTAGGTTTGAAGAGCCAATTGGCTTTCATCTTCTATTTTCTACATGTCAATTGCCCTCCGAAGTGGCTATCAAGGCACTCAATCTGCTGCCCTGGTCCAGCACCATCACCTTCTCAGGAAAACTACAACTGGCCAATAAACGTAAACGTTTCAGACCATAGAGGCCAGTGCCCCTGGGTCAAAATCCTGGAACTCCCTCCCTAAGGGAATTGTGGGTCTACTTACAGCACGTGGACTGCAGTGGTTCAAGAAGGCAGCTCACCACCACCTTCTCAAGGGGCAACGAGCGACAGGCAATAAATGCTGGCCCAGATCCCATGAATGAATTAAAGAAAATCCCTAGAATGAGTTTTACAAAATTCCAGTTTTAGGTGTAGGAATGCCACACACGTACATTAAAACTTTCAGAACATTGAAGGTGCACTGACAATGGTTGTGGAGTTCTGTGAGATTTAATCATACATAACAAAAGTACAATAAATTAGAAAATAGTGTGATCATTTTATTTAAAAAAGCTGCTGAAAATTTTATATATATATATGTCCAGCCAAAAGGTCATTGTCTATTATCACTTAAGGCAAACAAAAGTGGAACAAAAACATATACATCGATATACTACATTTAAGGACCCTTCGTGCTTCAAAATGTATAGGACAAAATGAGATAAAGAATGCACACAGTTAACAAGATTCAAATGAAAGTATACTACTTGTATTCTAGACTTATGTCCTTACGAGGTATGTTTCTCCCAACGGCAAAACCATGTTCAAGCTGTCTATCATTCCCCAAAAGCAGATAATTATCCTTTAACCTTTGTACCTCGAACATCTTGAAGTTTGTGGTCTGGAAAATTTCAATATGGATCCTCTAGGATTGCTAGGCACCCTTACAAAGCAGGAGAAACTTGTTGTCCCCAGTCGTGCACTCCCTCAGACACATCGCCTGGACCTGCTAATCCAATTTGAGTCAGTCGTCAGCTTGTTGCAATTCCCATCCCTCCCATGAAAGGCAAATAACAAGAGTGTTGTCCAGGAGAACTGATGCAAGATGGATGATGAGAGAAAACTTTTTTTTGTCGTCTGCTTTAAATATTAACAATATTGTTTATTTGTAAATTCTCCCTATCCCGCCCAACTGCCCTCAGGACTCCGTAAGTCCCACTTTGCCTTGTATCGTGACTCACCTTTTCCTTTCTGATCATGTACTGAAAGAAAATACAAATCCACAGTTGCTTGCTACGATACTTAAACATGCATCTAACATAATCTAAAACAGAGATAAGCTAAGTTACATAGAAGAAATGTTCTGGGCAGTAAGCATAAGCAGCCATATCTTCTACAGAGGTTGATGGTATGAATACCCAAGCCTCAAAAGTATTTCAGGTACCATATTATCCAGGTAAAGTAATTGGCAGAGAACAGAGATGGTTCATCCCTTGTATATACAGAAAGAACATGATATAAAGCACAAGCTGTCTAAAAGCTGACCCTTTAAAACTTAAAAAGAACAATAAAAGCTTTTTCTTCTTTAAACCCACAGCTATTTACAGATGTTTACAAAGTTTCATAAATACAGTTCAGAGGGACAAGTCAGTCTAACTTCATACAGACTTGGGATCCACGCAACTGAATTGTCCTTTCATCGATGAAATGGGATATTCATTAAGTGCAGTACCATCACGCATCTCAATTCAGGGAAAAAAAAGCCTTTGTTCGATCATTAATTCCTGGCAATAAGGGTGTAACACAGCATGGCACATTGAAGATACTGTACAATCACTTACTTTGAAACGAGAGCTATCTTTTGTTGAATACACTGTCCTACGGTTAATCTTTCTCACTGTCGCTGCCAGATGGTTAGAAAAGATCCATGATTCTCTGCGCTGTTGGACACTGAGCTGTCAGTTCCATCTGATACAGTGGAATATTTGAATTAGTTTTCAAATGCTCATCATATATAAAAGACTTCTGCTTTCAATTCTGATTGTAGAATGCGCTGTTTCTCTTTTATTTTGTCTTTCCCTTGGCTATGTTCATTGAAACAATTCAACTGCAAAGTGAATACAGGAACTTATTCCCCCATCCCTAACGCCCATTGCGTCAAAAAGAAAATAGTTACTCTGATATTTGTCTTCTACTTGCGGATGGTTTTCTGACAAGTTCTGCTTCGGCGCTTGTTAAAATTGTGTCGTAAATGGAAAAAAAAAGCAAAATGAGATTTCTCGCTCAAATGGCGGGGGGGAACTCAAACGGGGGTGGGGGGGGAGTGGGGGGAATATGGCTCCTCCTACAGGGGAGCTATACCCGGGTGGTGGAATGTGCGTGGGGCAAGCTTGTACTGTTCTGCCCTCCAGTGAACGTGTTGAACGTGTGCAGGGGCTGCATTGCAGCCAGGGTGTTGGGGATCATGGGGATGGTGTTGGGGGTCATAAGCGGGATGTCGTCCGGTGACCTCCTCAGGGTCAGGGCGTAGTCGGGCGGGTAGGTGAGCCTCAGGGTGTCGTGGGTCTGCATCGCCTCGCACTCGTGCTCGTGGTCCATTTGCTTCATCTGCAGCGACATCATCTCCTCGTTCTGGAGATGAGCCAGGTCGTTGGTAGCCCCACCGCTGCCGCCGCGCTGGGGGCTCTGCCGTCGGTGCGTCTCATGGCGCCTCTTGTCCTTCTTGTAGTAGAGGGCGGCGAAGGCCAGGATGTTCAGGAAGAGCAGCGAAGCCCCCACCGCGATGGTGACGCTCAGCTCGGTTGAATAGTCCCTCTTGTCCTCTATCAGGACCGTCGTCTCTTCGGGGCTGGACTTGCGCGTATCTTTGGCCTGCTTGTTGGGGTTGTGGGAGGGAGTCAGAGGTGGGCGCTTGGTGGTCGAAGACCACAACTTCCCCGGGGCCCGCCTGGTCACGTAAGGGAATGGCGTGGAGTCCGTCTGTGGCACCTTGGTGGTCGTCGACACGTATTGGAAGATCTCGTTCAGGTTGTGAAGGTGAGGGACCAGTTCAAGCCAGAAGGCCACTTTTGTAGCTCGGTAGTGCTCCCTCACCCTGGGCTTCAGGCCGATATGAAGGTACAGTTGATCCTTTGGATTGTACTTCGACCAGGCCACCTCCTCGAACCGGTTGGGTTTTGTGTGGATGAATTTTGTGTCCTGTGGAACGGGCTGGTTTGGGTCACTGGAGGGAAAAAAAATCAGAAAACGATTTTAATGACTCAACATTTTAGGATAAAAAGAAAACCCTCCACCAACAAGGATAATATACTTTAAGAGGAGGGCTATTTTCACTCGAGGAGTTAGTTTTCAGCGGCTCAGGTTGAGATGCATGGTAAACGTTATAATTTCACACCCCATTCTAGCCAATCTTCCTCTCTTGATTTTGAGGCCTAGTGTGTTTAATTCCTAGAACTCAATTACAACAAAGGACAGTACAGCACAGGAACAGGACCTTCAGCCTACCAAGACACTGATAACACATGATGCCTTTCTAAACTAAAACTCTTTTGCCTCCATGCAGTCTGTATCCCTCTTTTCCTTACTTATCCATGTATCTGTCAAGCTGTCTTTTAAACGTTGTTATTGTATCAACTTCTACCACCTCCTCTGGCAGCACATTCCAGGCACTTACGTATAAAACTTGCGTCGTCTACCCCCATTAAACTTAACCTCTTTTATTTGAAACCTATGTACCCTTTTAATTAGATAACAAGGTGTAGAGCTGGATGAACACACCTTCTATCGCCGCCTCCCCCTCTCTCTACTCATTTCAGACCACCCTTCCCCTCCCCCATTTCTGAAGAAGGGTCCGACCCGAAACATCAGCTTTCCTGCTCCTCTGATGCTGCCTGGCCTGCTGTGTTCATCTAGCTCTACACCTTGTTATCTCAGATTCCAGCATCAGCAGTTCCTACTATCTCTACCCTAGTAATTGACATTTTCATCCTGGACTATCCATTCAATTCCACGCCTCTCATAATTTTTCAAACTTTTATCGGGTCGTTCTTCATTCTTTGATGTTCAAGTGAAAATGACCTTCCCCAGACAGGCACAAAAACAAGGTTACATTGTAGCTTCAAGCTTCAATGGCATGAAAACTGATCTCTATTAAGGATAGATAATTCCAATCCACCAAATCAGGCTGAGAAGATCAAACGTTTACCCTGTCATTCAGGCATCCAGTGTCCTGAGGTTTATACCAGTACTTGCAGGAAACATAATGGGCAATGGTGTGCAGGCTAGGTGGATGGGCCATGTTAAATAGCCTGTAGTGTCCTGGAATGTATAGATTAGATGGATTGGCCATGTTAAACAGCCCGTCGTAAAAGGGATGTATAGGCTATGTGGATTGGTCATTTTAAATAGCCTGTAGTGCCCATGGATGTATAGGCTAGGTGGAGTGGCCATGTTAAATAGACCACAGTATCCAGAGATGTACAGGTTATGCGGATTGGCCATGTTAAATAGCCCATAGTGTCCAGCGATGTGTACAATAAGTGGTTGGCCATGTTTAATAGCCCAGTGTCCAAGGATGTATAGACTAGGTGGGTTGGCCATGTTAAATAGACTGCAGTGTCCAGGGATGTATAAGTTAGGTAGGTTATCCATGGGATATGTGGGCTTAAGCAGTAGGTCTGGGTGGAATGATCTTCAGACAGTTGGTGCGAATTCAATGGGCCGAATGGCCTCTGTCCTCACTGTAGGGATTCTATGACTTCAATGACAATTTTGTTCAGCAAGCTCGTATAAGAACACAAGGACTAGAAGCAGGAGTAGGCCATTCAGCCCCTCAAGCTTACTATTTGATACAATCATGGCCTCAGCACCACTCTCCTGCCCGCTCCACACAATCCTTTAATCCATTAATTAATTAAAAATCTGCCTACCTCCTCCTTAAATTGACTCAATCTCCCGGGGTCCACTGCATTCTGGGGTAATGAATTCCTCAGATCACCAGATTAAATTATCAGGTCATCAGTTTCAGTGACGTCATTGTTGTAATAATTTTGCCATGACACGAACTGAGCTCGCTCCCTCTGAAAAAGCGCTGCAAATCTTGTAGCACAGCGAGAGACCAGGTAAGGCCTAGATTTAATGTCTCACCTGACAGACACTGCCTCCAACAGTGCAGCACTCCCTCAGTCATGCACCAAGATGTGTCAGCATTTGTTCAAGTGGAATTTGAATCTTCAACACTTCAGATTCAAAGGCATGAGCATTACTGAACTGAACTGGAGTATTGCGTTCAGTCATATAAATAACCAAGGTCTTTTCCCTCACGTTGGGGAGTCCGAAACTATGAGGGCATAGGGTTAAGGTAATGGGGGCAAGATTTAAAGGGACTTGAGGGGCAGCTTTTTTCACGCACAGGGCGATGCAAGTTTGGAATGAGCTGGCAGAGGAAATGGTACAATTACAACATTTAAAAGGCATCTGGATGGGTACATGAACAGTAAAGGCTTAGAGGGATACGGGCCAAATGCTGGTAAATGGGACGGGACTAATTTAGGCTATCTGGTCAGCATAGACGAGTTGGACCGAAGGGTGTGTTTCCGTACTGTACATCTCTATGACTCTATATCATTGGTTAGCTCAGTTAGTTCTGTCAAAGAGTGACATCAGCATAGATTCAATTTGAGTAGCAGCTGAGGTTACTATGAGGGCTCTACGTTACCCTTGCCCTGAGGTCTCAGTGACCCACTCGCCAGTCACCTCTCTGTAGCGAGAGGGTAAGCCTCCGGACTGTGGTGACTTTACTTGATATGAACCCTGTGTGGCCATTCAAGCCTCAGAGACCAAAGTGGAAACACATTGTTTCGAATCTGAAACAATTCCCCAAAAGTTTGGAAGAGTCTTTGTAGAGCCCACTCACCCTGTCTTCGCAAAGTTGGTCCAGTAGGTCATGACCACTGCACTGAGCATAACATCATTCTTCGAGAAGTTACAGGGAAAAAGCTCAGTGGGTCCAATCATGGGGACACCAAAGACATAGGGGACCTCGTCTCCGTGTGCAGCATCAGACCAGCCTGGCTTCATGTCACTCTGGCAGTGATGGTAAAAGGCGTAGAAATAGGTGGGTGAGCCATACTGGGCATGCAGGTCTGCTGTCGCTACCGCCGGTGCCACCCACTGGTGGTCGGTGAACAGCGCCACCAGGGTCTTGCGACGAGTCTCAGGGTTCTCTTTGTCTGCCCAGTCGGTGTACATGAACTTGATAGTCTCCCGCAGGGTGTCCTTCCCCTCTGGGTAGCCATACAGGTTGTCCACAAAGTTGGAGACGGCGAAGTCGAAGTCACTGGCCGAGATACCGTCCTCGTTGTCCACCATATTCTCCACGAACTTCAGGCCCTCGCCTTGGTTGACACCCAGCATGATGTCGTAGTTGAGGAACTCTCCCTGCTCCATGAGGATCTGGGGGTCATCGGGAATGACGTCTCCGTCGATGACAGGCCCGAAAGCGATGTGGTAACGGGCAGGCATAATGTCCTGCTCAATCAGCTCCTTATAGCTCTTCATCCGTAGGCACTCCACCAGGTCAATGGTGTCCAGCATACTGCAGCCGACCTTCTCTGCCAGTAGGCGGGTATACTTGGTAGGCTGATAATTAACAGCCCAGCTGGATAAGGCTGTCCCACTCTGAATGATTGCCTTCTGAAACAGACCTGTTGGTTCAATGAGAGAAACAATTTAGTGGTAACATAAACAGGACCACAAGGTGGTGAGGGCCCAGCGGTATTGACACTAGAATCTTTAATCCAGATAATATTCTGAGGGACAAAAGAAAATACAGAACTGTGGCTGCTGGAAATCAGAAACAATCGCGGAATTTGCTGGAGAAACTCAGCAGGTCTGGCAGCATCTGTGGAGAGAAAGCACACTTTGAATCCAATGACTCTTTTGCGGAACTGACTATAGTTAGGAAAAGGTTGGTGTACATGCTGAAAATGGGGACAGAGAATGGAGGCCGAAGGAGTAAAGGATAGAAGAAGATTGACGCAGAACGAGGGAAAGAAACAGTTGTGCATACAAAGGAATGGATATAGGTCAACCTGGGAGAATCAATAGCTGTTAATGGGGACCATTAATGGCTGACAATGGTTTGTTTGCGGTAGCCCCATGTAATGACAAGGCCTGGTGTGTGGTGTAAGGACATAGAAGGAGGTGTTCAAGCCCTTAAATTGTTGGACTCAGTATTGAGTCCTGAAGACTGCAAGGTCCCCAAGTGGAAAATGAGATGCTGTTCTTCCAACTTGCGCTGAGCTTCATTGCAGCACCGCAGCAAGCCTGAGAGAGAGATGTTGACCTGGGAATATGCTGGTCTGTCAAAGTGGTAACAGGAAGCTCACGGTCATATTTGCAGACAGAATGTAGGAGTTCTGCAAAGCAGTTACCCATCTGCACTTCATCTCCCTGATGGTAGAGGAGACCACATTGGTTTGAATCCTGCCATAGCAGATGGTGGAATTTGAATTTAGTCAGAAACTCAGAATCTAAAGATGACCATTGTTGGAGAAAAAACAGACATCTAGTTCACTAATGTCCTTTATGGAAGGTAACTGCTGATGAGACTCCAGACCCATGGCATTGTGATTGACCCTTAACTGTGCCCCTCTGGGCAATTAGGGATAGGCAATAAATGTTGGACCACCCAGTGGGACCCAGATGTGATGAATGAATTTTTAAATGTGGAACAGTAGGAGATAATGCAGACAGTCAAAATAAGAGAAGCTTAAGGGTAGAAATATGGTGGCTTCCATGGGATCTAGGCACCAACATGGATATATTGGGTCGAATGGCCTGCCTGTATATTGCAATTATTGAACCTTTTTCCACAGGATGTGGGTGTCACTAGTAGGGCTAGCATTTATTGCCCATCTCTAAGTGCTGTGGAACCAAGTGGCTCATGAGCACGTTAGACAAAGGAGAGCCAGTAGACATGATCTGCTTGGATTTCCGGAAGGCCTTTGACAAGGTACCACACGGGAGGCTGCTAAATAAGATAGAAGCCTATGGTGTTAGGGTCAAGGTACCAGCACTGATAGAGGATTAGTTGACTGGCAGAAAGCAGAGAATGGGGATAAAGGGTCTTTTTCAGGATGGAAGCCAATGGCAGTGGAGTTCCACAGGGATCAGTGTTGGGACCACAACAATGCACATTATACATTAACAATCAGGATGAAGAAATGAAGGGCATTGTTGCTAAATTTGAAGTTGACACAAAGATCGGTGGAAGGGTAGGTAATGTTGAGTAAGTGGGAAGGCTGCAAAAGTACTTGAATGGGCTAGGAGAGTGTAGCAGGTGGAATACAATATGGGAAAGTGTGAGGTTATGCACTTTAGTTGGAAAAATAGATGATTTTCTAAATGGGAAAGGTTTTGGAAATCTGAAGTCCAAAGGGGCTGAGGCGTCCTAGTTCAGGGTTCTCTTAAGATTAACACGTAGGTTCAATTGGCAGTTAGGAAGGCAAATGCAATGTTGGCATTCATTTCAAGAGGGCTAGAATACAAGAGCAGATAATACAAGGCTGTATAAGGCTCTGGTCAGACTGCATTTGCAATATTGTGAGAAGTTTTGCGCCCTACATCCTAAACAAGGATGTACTGGTGTTGGAGGAGGGGCAAAGGAGGTTTATAAGTATGATACCGGAAATGAAGGGTTTGTCATATGAGGAGCGATTGAGAATTTCTGGTCTGTCCGCAATGGAGTTTAGAAGGATGAGGAGGGATCTGATTAAAATTTACAGAATATTATAAGGCCTAGATAGAGTGGACGTGGAGAAGATGTTTCCACCCATAGGAGAGACTAGGACCCGAGGACACAGCCTCAGAGTGAAGGAATGACCCTTTAGAACTAAGATGGGAAGGAATTTCTTCAGCCAGAGGGTGGTGAATCTGTGGAACTCATTGCTGTAGAGAGATGTGGAGGCCAAGTAATTGAGTGTATTTAAGACAGAGATAGGTAGGCTCTTGATTAATAAGGGGATCAGAATTACACAGTGAAGGCAGGAGAATGGGGTTGAGAAACACATCAGTAGTGATTGAATGATGTAACAGACTCATTGGGCTGAATGGCCTAATTCTGCTCCTATATCTTATGATCTTATGTCAGAGGGCAATTTGCAAGTGACCCATATTGCTGTAGATCTAAAGTCACATGCTGCCAGACCAGATAAGGTTGGCAGCTTTCCTTCACTAAATAACACATGGGCTTCCATAACAATCAGAACTAATTTCTGAAGAAGGGTCCAGACCCGAAACGTCAGCCTTCCTGCTCCTCTGATGCCGCTTAGCCTGTTGTGTTCATCCAGTTCTACACCTTGTTATCCCTGTTACTGAGGCTTGCTTTCAATTCCAGAATTTTTAAACCAATTAAATTCAAATTCCACTGTGCACCACAGTGAGATCTGAACACACACTCCCAGAGCGTTGACCTGGGGCAGCTGGATAACTAGCCCTTTAAAATTCCCTACCATTTCACTATAAAATTTGATGCAATTCTATTGCAGTCCCCAGGATTTAAATATTTCATATTTAAAACAGGCTGTTGATTATGTCGGCCAACAGCTACAGACCATTTGCATTAGAGTCAATTTTAAAGCTGTCGATCACAGCTTTTTGAGAAGTCTCCAGTGATTCTGACCGAAACCTTTCCATAACACATCTGTTTCATTTCGCATTGAAACTACCTGACCTCACTGTGCAATTCCAGCCTTTGGTGCTGCCTCATCTGTTTGGGTTCACGTGGGTAAATAACCCCTTGTTGATCCACAATTACCTCTGTGCACTTAATCCCTTCTGAGTGGTATGGGGTTTACAGTTCATTTCAAGCTTTGACTGCAAATTACTAAATACTTACAGCACAGAACCAGAACATTCAGTCTCACTGATCCATAGCAAATATCTATACTCATGCATGCCTTCTCTCACTGCTCATCTTGTTCCATCAGTTGCTTTTCTCACTCTCTCTCTCCCACAACTTCTAGCTTCCCCCCATCAAACAAAGCAATGCCATTCACCTCACCCACACCCAGACACAGTGACCTCCATCATTTCATCTCGTTTCATTATCCTTACTGATTAGTTGATTGGTCATAGAGGTTTACAGCATGGAAACAGGCCCTTCGGCCCAATGTGTCCATGCCAGCCAGTTTTCACAATTAAATTAGTCACATCTGCGTGCGTTTGGTCCATATCCCTCCATACCTATCCTATCCTATACCTGTCTAAATGTTTTTTAAAATATAAAATTGTACTCACTTCCACCACTACCTCTGGCAGTCGTTCCAGACACTCACCACCCTCTGTGTGAAAAAATTGCCACTCTGGACCCTTTTGTACTTCTCCCCTTTCATCTTAAACTTTGACCTCTAGGTCCTCATGGGTTAGGCTGCCATGAAGCTTGGGACTCAGAGTTTGCTATTGACAGGTAACTGTTCCCTTATTCTGTACTGCGTGTCTCCACACTTATTTGCATCTCAGTCTCTGCCTTACCCAAGAGTGACTGTTGTCTGCCTCCCAGGAGAACCAGCAAACCCTTTTATTTACACATAAGATAACAAGGTGTGGCGCTGGATGAACACAGCAGGCCAGGCAGCATCAAAGGAGCAGGAAAACTGACGTTTCGGGTCTGGACCCTTCTGCAGAAATGGGGGAGGGGAAGGGGACTCAAATAAATAGAGAGGGGGGGGAGGCGGATGCAAGATGGATAAAGGAGCAGATAGGTGGAGAGAAGACGGACAAGTCAAGGAGACGGGGATGGAGCCAGTAAAGGTGAGTGTAGGTAGGGAGTTGGGGTGGGGGTTGGTCAGTTGGGAGGGAGGGGCGGGTAGGTGGGAGGGAAGACGGACAGGTCAAGGAGGTGGGGATGAGGCTAGTAGGTAGGAAGTGGGGGTGGGGGTTGGTCAGCGAGGTGGGAGGAGCAGATAGGACCAATCCCCATCTCAACTCCCTACCTACATTCACCTTTACTGGCTCCATTCCCGCCTCCTTGACCTGTCTGTCTTCTCTCCACCTATCTGCTCCTCTATCCACCTTCCATCATCGCCTCCCCCACCTCTCTGTTTATTTCAGAGACCCCTTCCCCTTCCCCATTACTGAAGAAGGGTCCAGACCCGAAAAGTCAGCTTTCCTGCTCCTCTGATGCTGCCTGGCCTGCTGTGTTCATCCAGCTCCACACCTTGTTATCTCAGACTCAGCATCGGCAGTTCCTACTATCTCCCTTTTATTTACACACTGTTTTATGTAATGCTGATATCTATTATACAACTTCCTCAACACAGTGTGGAGCTGGGGGAACGCAGCAGGTCAAGCAGCATCAGAGGAGCAGGAAAGTCGCCTTCATCAGGACTGATTGTAAACCTGAAACATTGGCTTTCCTGCTCCTCCGATGTTGCCCAACCTGCTGTGTTCCTCCAGCTCCACACTTTATTGACTCTGACTCCAGCATCTGCAGTTTTAGCTATCTCCGTACACATCCACATACGGGCATGCTATCTTCTCTTAGAGTCATGGAATCATACAGTATAGAAGACCCATCAACTCTGGACTGCCAAAGCTGCACTAAATCTACTCTAGCCCCACTTTCTCGCACTAGGCCCATAGCCTTGAATGTTATGACATTTCAAGTGCTCATCCAAGTATTTTTTTTTACAGTTTGTGATAA